TTGAGCCGGTGAGATTTGAACCGCTGAACTCCAGATAACAGTCAGCTGAAGTGGCCTGCAGTACTGCACCCTAACCACTGCGCCACCTCGGCTCTATAGGAAAGAAGGAAGGAGGGAAGAAAAGAAAAAGAAAGGCAGAAAGGATTAAGGAAAGAAGGAACAGGAGAGAATGGGAGGGAAGGAGGACGAAAAAGAAGGAAATAAAGAATGAAGGAAAGAAAGGGAAGGAGGAAGGATCGAAGGAGAGAATGAGGGAGGAAAGAAGGAAGGAGCAAAAGAAAGAAAAAGGGTATGAGAGAATGGGAGGGAGGGGGGAAAGAGGGAGGAAAAGAAAAAAAGAAGGAGGAAGGAATGAAGGAAAGAATGGGAGGGAAGGAGGAAGAAAAAAAGAGAAAGGAGAGGGGAAAGAACGAAGGAAAGAATGGGAGGGTGGAAGGAAGGAAGGAAGGAAAAGAGGGAAAGAAAAAGGGAAGGAGAAAATGAGAGGGAGGGAGGAAAGAAGGAAGGAGGATGAAAAAAGAGGAAAAAGAAAAAGGATGAAAGAAGGAACACGAGAGAATGGGAGGGAAGGAGGAAGAAAAAGAAGGAAAGCAAGAAAGGGAAAGAGGAAGGATTGAAGAAGAGAATGAGAGGGAGGGAGGAAAGAAGGAAGAAGGGAGCAAAAGAAAAAGAAAGGATACAAGGAGGAAAGGATTCAAAGGAGAGAATGGGAGGAAGGGAGGAAAGAGGGAGGAAACGAGAAAAAAAGACACAAGGAGGAAGGAATGAAGGAGAGAATCGGATGGAAGGAAGAAGAAAAAAGGAACGAAGGAAGGAATGGAGGACGGAGGGAGAGAGAAAACAAGATAAAAAGAATCAGATAAAAAACAGCTAGCAAGCAAGAAAGAATCGAGCCAAAAATGAAAAAAGAGAAAGGCGGGGCCTTCGGTCTCCCAGCAACGCAGCTATCAGCCTCTCATTGGCTGGATATGCCCGGGGGGGTGGGGCGTGTCCGCCCGACCGCCCCGCCGAATGGACAAACCGAGAAGGGGGCGTGGCAGGAAGTTGGAAGGCGAGCTCTGCTGCAGGTGAGGAGGAAACCGAGCGGAGCGGGAGGTCACGTGGACACGGGTGCAAGGGAGACTCGTGGGAACGGCAGCACGCGTGTACACCCATCCGGGTCTGACCTCAGCCTGCATCGGGGCCATCCTCGAAGCCGCTGGGAGATTTCAGGAGGGCGGTCGCCTGGAACCCCTCTGGCTCCAGTTTTTAAAAAAAGCAAGTTTCTGGTCCTCATGGTTTTCAAAGGCAGGTGGGATTTAACCGCAGAGAAAGCTGGTTGCCTCTGAATCTTGCGGAGCACAATTTAGGATGGGCAAGGGTTTTTTTCCCCAGCCTGCTTGAAAGGCAATTTCCTTGCTTGGCTGGAGGGGTGGTGGTGGACTAGATGACCTACAAGGTCCCTTCT